TGTCTGTAATCTTGAGAATTCTGGCTTGTTAGTATAATAACGAGTGAAAGGAGATGGAAGTGATTGAATTGGAGAAATGGAATTCTCCCATTTAGTCACTTCCAGGTGAGTTTCATTAGTTGCCATAGTACAACAACAACAACAACAACAAAATGAAATAAAATAAACAATTAAAAAAAAAAAGATTAAAAAATAATAATAAAGAAAAAAGGGTAGATGAATGATGCGATAGTTGCTGCTAATTACTGAGCTCCAGGAATTCTTAGCCAAAACTGTCAGGGCTATTGAGAAGTATTTACTAAAGTACAAGAGGAATATTGATGTGCTAAGAAGACACTTAGTACAATTTGATTTTCAGCATACTGTACTTAATTGTGATTGGCAGAATTAATAAAAAAGTAATAAAAATGGGGAAGCAAAATTCAGTGATGTACAACTAACAAAACATACTCCTATACGTTAATAATACAAGCATACAAATAATAACTAAAGCATACAAACAATAAAATGTGGAAGAAGTAAACTATCTTATCGAAGACTTACTTGATGATGCTAACGATTTTAAGTGAAAAAACAAAATTGAGGTTATGTTATCTGGGAAGCACAAAATTCAACTAATATCCTACGTAATGTGCGTTAAAAATGATATTGAGAGCAGACAAATATTATATACATAAATAATAATTATATAAATAAATTAAACATAAGTCGAAAAGAAAATACCATGTTCAAAAACAGCAATAAAGTCCTGCAGGAAAATCATCTAATTGTTGAGATTACTATGTCAAAGATTAGCCGTGTTGCGCTACCAGAAAACGTTAAATCGTTAATGTAAATAGAAGCACATGGGAAAATACTTCTTGCAAAGTCCTTTAGATGGCAGTGCTGTGCAAAGTTCCCTTGTGTAAAAGCTTCAAGGTGATCTTGGAGGATAAGGGTACTGATGCGAGGGCTGGTCAGTTGGTCGTGCGTTGCCTTGCTACGTCCTCAAGGATGGAGAAGGGAGTTAGGCCATGGAGGTAGGAAACTTCTTACCTCCATGAGTTAGGCAGGGGGAAAAAGAATTAAAACACGTAAAAAGCAATTATTGCATAATAGTATTACAACTAATAGAGCTACAGTTATTAGAAGCACATCCAAATAAAGGTAATATGGAGGCCTACATTGCTATAGTTCCATCGCTTCGCTATTTCCAGTGAATGATAAAATATTGACGATTGAATCCTTTAAATATTCACCTTTTGAAACTAATTAAAAATGCTGTACGACATTACAATCTCCAAACTTGTACCGGAGGCAGGCGTAAGGTACCTGCAATTCAATGATATGTTGGTTGTGGCTAGATTAACATATGAAGCCGAGATATCATTTTATACAGAGTCACTATTGAGATGCACTTCACTGAGAATTAGTACTCCCTTGCACTCTTCTATGGCGAACACTTAGAGTAGAATCTTGAATAGATCTTTAACTCTAGACCATAACAGCGTGAAACCAATATAAAGTTAAAGCTCTCGGCCAGACCTTTTCACTGATATGGAAATTATTCCCTTTTGCACTAAATGGCCGAGCTTTATTCGCATTAAATCTTTAACTCGATTCCGCGTGCGCGTGTGTGGCTGAGAAAGCCGGATTTTTTTTATATCTAGCGACTATAGCAATTATTTAAAATAAACTAAAAGTCAACTCAGTTTCAGTTTAGAAAGTTACAGTGTCGTTGATATAAGTCACGTTGCAGAACAAGTCACGTTGCCCTTACGGTGCCCATATCCATATGAAAATTGCATTTTCGATATTTCTAGCCAATATACATTACATGTATACATGTTACATTCCGAACTTCCAAGATTAATATGAATAACTTAATAATTTCGTAATGTTTTGTGCATCTTTATTATACTTTGATTTACACAATAGTGTTTATTTGAACTAAATTGTCTGTGTCAACACATTGCGTTTTAGAATTAATTTTGCAAAGAGAATAAAAGAGAAAGAATTTAAATCAAAAGATACATTTTACATTTTATTGTAATAAATTATAAAAACAGCGGCAAAGCTTCGTTTCCTTATATGAATTTTTTACCAGTGTGGTCTAACTTTAAAACACCAGCACTTCAGAACAAATACAGCAAAAAGCATACTTTTATTAAATTTCAAATATTTACAGTGACAGCGCAAAATAACATCAGCTTGTTGATACATACCCTTATACCTCTCTAACCGTTTCTTCTATTTTGTTTGTATTGAAATGGTAGAATTTTCTTTCAAGCATGCGCCTCTTCAACAATGTTGGAAGATCTGTTAGAGAAAACAACCCATATTTTCATCTAGTAAACAACTCATGCATTCTTTGCTCTTTAGAAGAAAGATCAAAAGTATCTGAAGCAAAAATATGGCTTCTCTTCCAGATTTTCGTATGTGTGTAAACAGCTGGTGCAACAGTCAACTTAACGTCTTTTATAATAAACGATAAAATTTTATTGACTCACCGACCTCGAAGCACAAGAAACTGCCTTTCGATAAAATGGCGACGGTATTCATGTGCCTCAGGCATAAAACCCGCGCATTTGTGGGACTTATTTACGACCGTTGAGTGCGCCGCAAGTAAGTAGTTCGATCCTAAAGCCTTACGTGACGTAGCCCTGAGTTAAAGTCCTTCTGCTGGGATTGGATTTAGTCGTAATACGCTGGCTAATTTTTTTTTTTTTTGTTCCATTTTAGCTCTTCTTTCCTGTATTTTAAGGTCCCCTTTTTCTATGCAACGGACGCACTTTTCCCAAAGTGCCAGAGTTCGAAGGTTTTTCTAATGTCCGAGTTATTTTCTTCTCTCCGCTTACATGAGGAGCATATATTTGTAATAGAAGAAAAAAAAAATCAACAGCGGCTGTTTTTTTTTTTCTTTTAAACATGTCTTTATTTTTAATACTATTCGCTGCAAGGAATGTTCAGAAAGTAGTCTAACATTTCAGATACAGTAGTTGAAGAGACATCATTTTAGAATTTTTGGTACAGTTGCATAAAATCCATGCATATTCTTGTAACTTCGATATATATCTTTTTATAACTTCCATATATGTTCTTATAACTCCCATATATGTTCTGATGAAGCTTCGGTTTCAAACATATAAATTTCGCATCCAAAAAAAAAAAGTACGAAACTTCATTAAAAGTGAGTCACCTGAAAGCAGGTCATCTCTAATGTATTATTTAACCTGCAGCCTTTAAAAGGTTAAGTTTTCTTTGGCTGCAAAATGGGTATTCTTCAACACTATATATTGCAACTTTTGAAACTGCCGTCCAGACGGTATAGTGGTTAAGAAAGCCTATTGCAATACAGAAGGGCCTAGATTCGAATCGAAGGTACGGGTGTTTGCAAATGTAGTCTCTGTGAGATATGGTGGCACTTTAAATATACGGTGATTCGAATGTCCTCTCGAGAGGTTGATGAGAGGGGAAGAGGGGTGAAAGACCTTCGGTACTGTCTTCAAAATTAAGGGCGAAACTGAGCGAAGTCGTACTGTCACTTGTATAGTGCTCAAGGCCAACGACAGGCGCAATTTTGCTCTCCTTGGCATGATGAATTCCGTGGGCTTGTTTCTATGCTACTGTCAGTCAAGAGAGATAGTCAACACTTTTGAAACGCCTACATGTTATTTCAAATACAATAAACCTTAATGATGTATTATTTCTTGGAATTGAAAGTATCGTATTACTCTCGATATTTTAGATAATGAGCTAAAGAAGATCCAGAATAGCTTTGAGATTTTGCCATTAAATTCAAAATTTAATTATGTTTTCTTTATTTGCATAAAATCTTTTTTGTTTTCTAGCACCTGGTTATTCGACTTCGTTTATTGTGCAAAATTAATGACTTTATTTTTTCTTGATGATGTTAACTAGTGATTTCGACAAACCTGATTTTTCACAATTTTTTTTTCTTTGGAAACAAGGGTAATTTTTGTCTTTTATGATTATACTCTTTCGGGTGTATTGCATTTTCGAAGAAAGACGTATCCTTACATGTGTTTAAATTTCTTTAGTCACTCCTACTTTTCTGTGATTCCTTAATTATTTAAACAAGATTACCAAGCTCATGTTATCATCGTCCAAAAATGAAACAGGCAAGAATAACTGAATTGGGAAATTATGCACGTCAAGATGTTACATACTTAATTTTAGTACGTAAAGCGCACGCTTTATATTTAGAATTTCTTATTACATATTACCTGCATTTCTTGTTACTTATGTTAAATATTCTAATTTTTGAAAATTCTTTGTGTTTTAAGATTTTATTATATCGAATTATGTTCTTCTAGTGATGAGGAATATTATAAGTATTTACTGAAAGCCTATGTATGATATAGATTTTTATATATAGTTTGAATGATATAGATGTAAATTGAACGAGCGTTCATGTACGTCTCTATACACCAATTAAAATAGTTTTATTTTTAAATATTATGAAAGTAATGCATAACACAATTTTTAGTGTTCTTTTCCTATTTGCTAGCTAACGTTTCATATTGCAATATGTTCAATAAATTGGCTAAATATAAGGAAAATATTTTTTCTTCAGCAACATACGAAACAGAATAACTATCCACTTTGTATCAGTATATAAAGGTCAGTTTTCAATGGAATGGTTATTCTACTTGATGATGTGAGGCGAAGTATCTGTCCAGTTTTAAAATAATGATAATATGTAGACAATTAATTTATTTTTGCCTAAAATTATATTATCTAGTTGTTTTCTTATAGGCGTTATTTAATGCTGCAGTATTCTTTACAAATTTATCTTCCAGGTGGGATTTCGTACTTACATTTTGCCCCTTTAATCTGTTCATCACTTTACTCAGAATTCCATCGTTTCTTTTTTTTTCCTACATAAAATTAGTCCCCCTCCAATTCTTCGTAATCCATGAGTTTAAGATATATCACTCTCCAGTTATTAAATGTCCAGTATATTAACATTTGATTATGATCTGTATTTTTTTTTCTAGATTATTCCAGTATAGCTCCAAACACAACTAATGAAATAATATATGAAAATGTAGCTCAAAAAGAACATACATATGCGAATATTATGAGCAGAGTACCTTTCGGTCCCAGTGAAGTAAGTATTATATTATGTGGTTAAAAATATAGTTTAAAACTATTGTATCTGTTTTCAATAAATTAGAAACAAAACTTTTTAAAACTTTGTGTGGAATCCAAAATATCTGACTAATTCTTAACAAATTAAATAAAGACTGAGAATAAAGAAAACGTGTGAAAATAAAATGAAAAAAAAAAAAAAAAATCTGATGTGTACACCACATGACTTCTTTGTACGAAATATTAAATTATACGCATTTTTTTCCATTTCATTTAAACTTATTGGATTGAATTAAATCTACTTCGCCGACAGCGCATAAACCACAACAGAATAAATGAATTCTTTAAAATTCACTCTAGTATTTGTTTACCACAGCGACACTCTGGCGCTAGATTCACTTAACAGTATTATATTTCGTTCATATTATAACTCATAATGCACAAAATTTATATCATTTAAAGAATAGAATTATCTAATCGTTGCCACATGTTCTATTCAAATACTATAATAAAATTAGAATGATGTATAAAAGGAATTAAGCAAACAAAACAAAAAAGAAACAGTTTTTCACAGACGATTGAGTATTTCTCATTCAATTAATTCAGTTCTCACTTCGCGAGAAGGCAAAAATACATAAAAACTCAAAATATCTATATTAAAAATTACGAAGTAAATCTTAAACACTTATTTCCTCCAAAAAATTCCAGAAAGGATTAAGCATGATTTAATGGGCAATAATAAATAAAGGCGTTATCTTTGTTGTTGCGAAGCTAAGTTTCTCTAAATTGGCAATAAATTCACTAGTCTGCTGTTTCAAATGTAAACAATCAATGGCCGCCATAAAAAAAGGCTTAGCGGCACTTAAACAACTTTAAAGTTGTTGATAATTCTAAAAATATTACATACAGATTTACTAAAGGCATAAAAACCTTAACCGGAAGATAAAAAAAAAACATAATTCAATCATTTTTAAAGCAAAAAATGTGCATTTTACAAATATATACGAGTAAAGAAACTGAGATCACTGAGCCGGGTAACAGTGTGGATATATATATATAAATATATTAAATACGTTTGGTGCGGCCGATTGCAACCAAACTACGAGGTGCACATCTACACGTTATAGCAGTCCTATATACAAAATTTCAACATTCTGAGGCTACTCGTCTTTGAGTTATACGAGATACGTACGTACGCACGTACGTACATATGCTCGTACAGACGCCACGAAAAATTCTCTTCAGAATTAATTTTAAAGCAGTTTTATAATTTTTTTGGAGGAAACGAGTCTTTTATTCTGTCCTTACGTACAGATATCACGCAAAAACATCGTTAAATTGTATTCGATAGCGGTCAAAAATGGATATTTTCGTTGAAATATGCTGCCTGAAACTTTTCGCAATTACAATACTTCCTTTTTACTTCGTACAAGGAAGTAAAAAGAAGAGTTTAATTTACTTGAGAACTTATATACCTATATTTTGCTATTTTCTACGAATTCATCTGAGAACTAGTAGGAAATAGCAAAATATAGGTATATTTTATTAAAGAAGTTCAATGAAAACAATTTAAATTATTTCTCAATATTTTGCTTTAGTATGTTTTAATATGAACAAGATAGAAACCTACTTATAAATGGTATGTGCTGCGTATCTGCGTATCTGAGCATCATGTAAAAAATATTAATTGGCATAACAAGTAATAACATTGGAAGTTTTCGAGTATTCACTGTAAAAAAATAGGTTTTAAAAACTTTAACGAGTATTCACTATTAAAAAACTATGTTTAAAAAGGTATATGATTATTCACCGCTATAAAAAAAATGTTTTAAAATTGATCAGAAGCATGCAGCCGAAGTAATCTGAAACGCTTACTTGATTTTACAGATTTAGTAGTTTCGAAAATAGTCAGAACAGCAAGATTTTTAAACATAATTTCAGTTCGGTTTTTTGGAGTTTATATGACAGAGCAATCCTTCTAAACAGTGTTTTACGATGTAAAATTTATCGTTTTGTATAGTAAAAATATGAAGCAAAATAATTACATTTATATTATTATGCATAATAATTATACATTAATAATTTTGCATAATTATACATTAAATACATTAATAATGCATACACAATTTTTACTTACTTATTTTAAGAGCGTCATACGCTCTTAAATTAAGTAAATGCAAAATTAATTACTCTGTATTGTCATTAATGACTAGACACCTCCTTAAAGGAATTTAAGTTCGCCTACCCACCATTAAAGTGTGTCATGGGACAGGGAATAAACAGAGAGAGTTTCTTGAGATTGTAATACTAGTAACATCTATCGAAATAGGTGTACGACGAGAGCTGAGTAAGGCTGAAAGAGGCGTTCTTATCGGTGACCACAGATATGATCATTCTAGCATTTTGATTTCTGGCAAGTTTCAGATATTACATATAATGATGGAGTAGAAACGTGAAGGAGTTTTGATCAGTAGTTCAAGCGATGTCGCCTGTGGACTCTAGAACAAAAGAAGAACGTATGTTGTTGACTCAACAATAGCTTTCAGTAAGCTGGATTCCGATGGATACGTACAAACCTGGCGAATGTCAGATAATTATTATTTACCAAAGCCTATTGTTCCCACTGTAAATTTTGGTGAAGACCTAATTATGTTGTGGGTTCTGTTTTCTGTGTTTGGTTTTGGTTCACTAGTTTATGTGTCTGGGGCTCTGAAGCCCAATCCTGTGAGGTGATATCGGGTAATTCTCTGCTACAGAACCTATGAAAACAATTTGTAAAGGTCCTTATTCTTTTCAACAGACAATTTAGAATTTATAAATACAAAATCATCATAGAATAATTTGAGGAAATGGAAGAGAATGAACTTGACCCTCTGAAAACGTCATAACAGTGAATGTTAGAGCTGTGTCATACTAAAATCGTACTAGTTTCAGTTAAGGAATCTTCTACGTACCCCATCATTAACAGCATCATAGCATAATATTCAGAAAATGCTTTTAGATTATAAATCTTATCTGATTTGTAGAAAGCATCTAAAGTTTTGCAGTCTTTACTTATATATTTATTATTTACTTTCTGTTTTAGGCTGGTATAAATAAATGCGAATTCAGTAGAATAATAAACGAGTTAATATTAAATTAAAACGAAATTGATTGTGATTGAAGAATTCTATGTAATACAATTATGTCAAGTATGAAAGAAAAATTAACATCATGCCGCAAATGAGGGGAAAAGAAAAGTTGCTTTTTTAGGATATCAAGCAACATATATCTTTTATAGAAATACTTTTATATTAATGAGTAGCATTATGTCTACACAAAAGTAGTGAACATTTTGGATGATACTATGATACTTGTATTTTTAAAATCCTTATTTTTCTCACCTTTTTTTAAGTTTGCTTAGTAAATGATACATAAAGCTTGCAGTAAGCACGATAAATATTTACGATATAATTAATATTTATGAAATATTCTAGAATTCTGTGCAATAATTGAAAATTCTGTTTGCTTAGTGAAACTATTGAAAATTACTTCGTTTGGGAAATTGAAACTGGATTTATTTGCATTTACTTCTGGAAATACTCCTTTAAGATATATTTAGTTTCTTTTAGATGCCAAATATCAGGGTTTTGTTCGTTTCATTTACACCGCTAAATTCATGTAAAGACAAGAATATTCAAATTGTTGACTAATAAAATTGAACACGCACATTCTTGAATGCCTGCCTTTAATACTGCCATTTAATGCCTGCCTTTAATACTGCCTGCGTTTAATACCTTTAGCATTTCTTACAATTCTCTTAAGCCATTTTGTTGTTTGGCCAAAGCATATCCTCTTTATTTTCCAAAAGCGTGTCTGCAATGATACTGGATACAATTTACTCAGAATAATTTGAAATTTCTTGATGCTAAATTCTTCAAATTACTTTATTCAGGAATTTAAATAGAGTAAGAGGAGTTTTGTGCTGTCTTTCATGGCTAACTATAGTTTGCTGTTATTATTGTTGTTGGAGTAAGATTTAAAATTATTCTTAGGTTTGACTGCAAGCGGACGGATTTTAGATCTTCTTATATTGCAAAACCTGCAGAGATATATGTAACAAATTATCTTATACAATTTAAATGCTCATTTAAATTTCTTCAACATTCAGAGTTACCACTTGCTGACTTAGGCAAGAAGTAGAAATTAGATGTTAATAAGAAAGAACAGTAAAGAAAACTTTTTAACATAATGCTGTTTTACTTATGTATAAATAATATTTTATAAATTGCTGTTAAAATCCTCAAGAAGTTTTGAGGCAAAATACTGGCGTATTTAAACGTTTTTATTTATTCAATTTCTGTAATTTATTTCAATATTAATAGCATTGTTATAATTAAAATTTTTGAAATAAGTGCTATGTGCTTTATCTTAGAACTTTAGCTCAAATTCTGGTGCTGTATCTCAGACCAGCTAAAATTTAATGTAATAATTACAGTACAAATTAATATCTATTCAGTCTTGTACTTTTTTCCAACATTTAATTCTGTAATATAGACCTATTAACGTTCTACATGTTAATAAATACTGAGCAAGTTGCAAAGTTATATTAAATGTAGTGTCAATGAATAAAGTATCCCTGAAGTGATACGAAAGGTATCTGAGAAAATTACAAAACAGATACAAATTCTAATTAACTTTTGGTTAATGGACTTGATTTCCAGAGCTTTGTAGACTAATATCTAGTTACAGTTCGTAATTATGGACATTCGAACAACTTTTAAGATTCTTTAATAATCATTAAAGGACAAAACTCGTACTCCACTGGATTATCATGAATTTAGTAATATTTTGAATTGATTCACACACAGCAGCAAAATTCTAATACTGCAGATGCTCGAATGAAGTATCAAATTTTATAATTAGCACGTTTGTGAGTTTGTAAAACTGAATTTTAATTTTTACAGCTTTGATAATTTGAAACGCATTTTCTAGGAACCTGTAGATTAAGAATTTAAAAATGAAATTTTAATATCTAGAAATTAATCGAATGCTAAGTGTGAATCTATCGATTAAATGCGAGTGCAAAAAAAGGCTGCAGAATATCGCATATTCGTTAATTTTATACGGTCTAAATTATATGCATTTAAACATCTACGAATGTTCCTGAATTATCGAGAAACAGAATGTATGCTTTACGTATTTAGTAATGTGATGCGCTCTTTCAGAATTGAATAGAAAATCATTCATTTAGAAAACTATAAAGATTTGTAACTGGATTCTATAATACATTTTAAGTGTAAATGAACAGTGTATTAACAAATGTGCTGAGATGCATAAATGAACTTTGTGACATTTTATAAGTCTTTGAAGAGAATTTTGCATGAATCCTTTTAAACAGATCATAGAGGATGATACTTGTAAATATGTAAAGCGCTAAGAGTAGCTAAGCCTACAAAGATTCTACAAAGAGTAGCTAAGCCTTACATGTAAAAATATAGCTATGTTTTTAAAACTAAATTGCAAACTAAATTCAGGAATTTATTCAATAGTGTATTTAGAATGAATGATTACGTAAATGAATGTATCTTAATCTAAATCTGTTTGAAAACCGAATGCATTTTATTATTCAAAGAACTTATGTTATTCAAATAGCTTCTTTCAGTGAAAAGTTATAATTAGAGAGCGGAGACTTTATTTCCTTTCATCTAGCTTAAATGCATGCTTATAATGAAATACTTTCTGGCGCTCTAATTTAAAATAGTTCTTTGATTTTGGGAACGAAGTTTAAAATATTTTATTAATTTCTAAAATAAATATAAAAATTAAAAGTGCTGTAATAAAATTTTAACTTGTTCAGTTATCATCCAACTCCTGTGCAGTTAATACATGGAAATCCAGTCATTGCAAACATTAAAACACTTATTACACAGAGATAAGATGAATTTTCAAAAAGCATTTTTAACAGAGCTGTAAGTAACAGACTATAAAAGAATAAACATTTGCATTAGGAGTTTAAATGCAATTTCTTGAGCGCGATGATGAAAATGGAAATTAAACGGATACGGTATTTTTCTTGTAAAACCTAGATTAACATTCCACATTACATTGCTTTATTTTCGAATTTTACCACCACATTAAATTAATCCCTCCCGTATAATGTAGATGCATAAAATTTTAAACTCCTAATATGACATTTGTGGTTTGCGAACATTGCATGAAAAGAAGACCGACTATAATTTAATTTATTATGCAGAAAGAAAAGTTGATTCTTGTGGAGATTAAGTAACCGAAAAATGATTTTGACTAACTCCGGATCTCTAATTTTAAATTTGCTTCCTTTTTATTATTGTTAAACTGCATTAAGTTGTAAATGCAGCATTCATGTAACATATACATATAGGAATTAAAACAGTAGCTGTGGAGATTATTTCCTTAATTATTTATTATTTAATTAGGAACTTCTTATAATTATTTTATTCAATTAAATAATAGATTTTTTTAATACAGTACGAAAGCTAAGCAGGATACCCTCCGAAAATAAAATAGGTGTATATATATATATTCATATAAAGTCCTCAGGGAATAAAAAATATCATTCATTAGAATATCCTTTATGGTTTTCAAAAACTAAAACTTAAGTTTGTTTACAAGCAATTTTAGGCCTAACAGCCCAACTCGGTTTATTATTCCGTGCCTATAAATATCAGGATTCGAGTTTTTAGCTCAAATGGACGTTAGCCAAGAAGGGTTATTAATTTCATTTTGGCATTTTGTTTTGGTTTACTATAAAAATCTGAATTACTTTTCAAATTTTTACCACCAGATATTAGAGCCTGCATTATATTTAAAGAAATCGAATAACGAAGAATTTACATGAATGTATGTATGTTTCTCGCATTGTGAAAAAAACAACGGTACCTAGAAACATCAAATTTTGAATAATGCAGTCCTTCTCTCGAATATGGCATCTGGAAGCCTGAATTAGGAATTTATTTTATTATCTATTTCACATTTTGTAAAACTTTAACGAATTTTTTATTAACAAACTCAACTATTTCAAAGCATTCCATTAAGATAACAATCGCGTGCATCTTCAAGCACGGATATTTTATTCGCGAAGTTTCTTTACATTTTTTTTACTGGTATTATGGTGGCAGCGTACCAACGAAACAAAGATGATGTCTAAACGGTATTTTGCTCGAATGACTTGTAATGTCATTCGAAATTTCTGTATCGCTTTTCGAATCCCGTGTTGAATCCCCCTTGAAAAAAACGCCCCTTTGTGTGTAATATAAAACCTGTAAGCATTCAAGTATATATATATATATATATATATATTACTTGTAAAAGATTAAATTCAGAAAGCAACCTCAAAATCAAGTTGCTTGTTTTGACGATTAAACTTTTCATCTACTTTTTACATTTACTATTTAATTCAAACTGCCTTCAAAAAATACTTATTAAGAGTATCTCAGAAAACACGTAAAAATGCGATGCATTTTGTTTGCAGCTAATTAAGGCAGGTGAGAATTTTAGCAAGAAGCTTTGGTTCACGAAAATCAGACAAAAAATTAGATTTGTTTACATTTTCAAAATTTAGAGATCATATTTGTAAAAATTTAGAGATCATGTTTCTAAAATTCTGAAATTTATTTTAAGAAACTACATATTTAGAATTCAATGTCTGAGATCAAATTGTAAGGAAATAATACCCATAGACATATTCTATAAACATTCTGACTAAATGTAGATATTTTCACCTTATTTGTTTTATTTTGCAGCCGTACGATGACATAACATATGCGGAATTAGCTCTTCCAGACAGTCGACAGCCGTTTGTAAGGCATCGACTGGAGCCTCCCACTGAATATGCTGACATCGATTTTCAGCACAGTCGGGGGACTTTCCCTGCAGCTACAGTTATAGGGAATGATGAAGACACAGCCCGCAGTCCACTCGTCATATCTTCCAAAGCCATCAGAGTGGTAAGTAGACTCTTTTTGGAGGGGGCAGGGAGCTGCTTTCCTGGACTGAAATCAGTTCCGTCTCAAAAAGCGAATTTCAAATTACTTGGCTGAAATTTAACTCAACGATGACTGCATGACAACATGATTAGATTACCTGATTTTTATAGTTCTCTTTATATATTGATATGGAGTTTAGTGGATTGAAGAAGTTTTATTAAACTTCACTGATGTCAAAAACTTCAAAACAGTAAGTTCTTCAGATTTTCCACTACGGTTTAATATTTATGTGAAAAGACTATATTGCATCTGGGATTTGAATTTAATTTTGAAATATTTTAGTCCAGATATCTGAATTACGATTAAAATCACTATCCTGTTCTCTATGTCATTGGAGACTTAGATTATTATTATTATCATTTTCATGCAAAATGTTCCCTTCGTTTGAAAAGTAGACATTTCGTCGGATGCTAAATGTGTAACCACAGACATTCATGTATGTGCACTTCTAGAAATGTATTCAAATTACACTGGTAATATTTATGCAGAAAATATTCATCTAACAAATATTTACACAGAGAATACTTACGCGGGAGCGTTTAACTATGAAAAAATTATTCCAAGAGGTCTGGTTCGTGATTATAAGAACTGGAGAAGAACAAACCAGACTACTTACTTGAGACATTTTTAAGTATGGTGAATCTGCTATTGAATCAGTACAAAGGAAGTACGACAGCAATTTCTGTGTTAGTGAAAAATAGATGTGATACACTATCACGCTGCGCCGACAGGCTAAGAAATGTTGTCATCTTTTCACTTTTTATTTTGCAAACTAGAATTCAGATGTATTTGTGTATTTTTACTGGATGTCGATGGAAAACAACTTGTCGAATATATCACGGAGGAAAACAATGCAAGGAGAGAACGTCGTCATACAAAACATCGTGAGAGAAAAGAAAACAAGGAGAAAACGTCGTCATACGAAACATCGTGAGAGAAAAGAAAGCAAGGAGAAAACGTCGCTGTTCTAAAACATCGTGGCTTAAAATAAAACGATACGTAAACTTCTCAGTTTCAAAACATCGTTGTACAACATATCGCAAATAAATAAAGAAATAAAATAAAAATAAAGCATCTACATTACACTATACTAACATCATATAGATCGTTTCTGATTATAAAAGATTTAAGTAAATTTATAAATTTTCGTGTAATGAGTTGTGAATGCAAGAAGAAATAAGTAAGATTTTTACTTCTATGTTGAATATTTTTGATTAACTAATAAATGTTTTCTCATAAGTCATGCAGGTAACTTAAGTATTCAACATATGGAAATTAGTAAAAATTAATGCTACATACGCTAATAGAATTTTAAACTGATGTCTCTTCCTCTTACCAGTTTCTTATTCCATAATTGTTCGTGAAAAATTACTAATAATACTTAAAGAAGAAAATGTTTGAGTATTCAAAATAAAATGGTGCATCGCTCTCCACTGCAACGTTTACATACGAAGTTTTCAATAATTATTTTAAGCCAGTAAGGTGATAAAATAGTTTCTATTTCGCCAGGACAGGCAATCTGCCTTGCGAAATTATATATATCGGTGATATCATATGTATCATATGAAAACTCCGCATTTGATCTTAAAGCATTCGTTTTCTGTAAATTATTGTTGTCATATTTGATTTTAGAATTATGTGTTTCATAGAAAAGTTTCAGCTGTAAGCATTTGTATGTGATTTTTCAGTTTGTAATTATGTGTCGTGATGGTGTTTTGTACATAAATAAATTCTTCTAATTTTCTTTGACAGTTTTTTAAGTCAGTATTTCTCTGCATATGAAGATATTTTTTACAGTGCATGCTTGCTCAAACGCAGTCACGATATTTTTTTTACAGTGCATGTCTGCTCGAACACAGTCACAAGTACATAATCTTCATTATAAATTCTAAAATTGCATCTCAAATCTATGAATGGCCTGAATTAAAAATCTGTACTTTTCAAGATCTTTTTAATAATTTATTTAGCTAATAAAATTATTGCTTATGTTCACAATTTCATACGAGTTCCTAATAAGATAAAAAGTGTTAATAACGAAGAAACTTGTATATGGAATAGGTTAAAATTATTCAGAAAGAAATTAACATCAGTGTTTTCGAAAACAGGCATAACGATCTGTAACATAACAATAGACAGTCTTATAATGAGACTGAATAAGAAAATGAGCTTATCTCGTAACACCATTCTTTATAGACTGAAAACGAAAATAAATTAGTAAACTTTATTTGATGTGTGAGCGGAAGTTTTCCTACTTTTAAGTGTTATTACGAAAGTATAAAATTAATTGAAACGTTGATACATAGTTTAAAAACATAAGCATTTTTTTTAGCAGGAAATGTAAACAATTTGCAATGTCATTGTCGGGATTTGAATCTGGACATCTCGAATACGCGCCAACTGTGTTACCGTTACAAAAAGAAAGGAGAAAATACCCTATATACTCCCCCTTTTAAAGGATGAGTGGGCATTAGAGGAACCAATCACCAAATCCCGGTGTTAACGAATTATTGCTCACCACGTTTTAGTTAAGGCGCCACTGTAGAATCATTAGGTTATTTTGAAGCAGGAAGAGCTAAAACATGGGCCGGGACTCGAACCTGGACCTCTGGAATACGCACCGAGTATGCTACAGTTACATCACGAAGGCATGCTGGAAGGAAGGAGAAAATACTAGAACAAACTATATATATATATATATATATTATACAAATTCGTAATATTTGAAATAATTCTTGTATTTAAAAATATAATTATTTTTCAGAAGGGATTAAAGTTAATAATGTATTTTTACTCTACTATAACTTTAATCAGTGATCCGAATCAAAGCTAAAATTTCTTCCTCAGTTCTCTAAAGAAATTTTTAAACATGGAAAAGACCGGGAGTAATGTTTCGACTACAAAAAAAAAAAAAAAAAAAAAAAAATATTCTTTGGTCAATCAGTGCACATCGCTGCAAAAGAAAGAGCCATAAAAAATGAGAAAAACCAAAGATAGAAAAGAGGGAAAAAAATAACACATCTGATGCGAAAACCAAATCAAATTCTCTCCATTATCTCCGGGAACACCCAATCTAAATGAATTCTGAGACCATCGAAAAAATGGCGAAGAATGATTTAAAAGAAAAAAAGGAAGGATTTCGCGGACTATGATTGATTTCATTCCAGCATCTGTAGAAGAAAGTTGATTTGGTTTTTTGTTCTCACTATCATTCGTTCCCGCCATCATTTGCTATTTCTTCAATAGCCGTATCACGTGATCCTATCCTTAGTCTCAAATGACCGAGTCGGAGGATATCATGGGACTGATTTCACCAAGGGAATTCCACATCTTAAAATATTTGCTTATTTTATAAATGATTAAAAAACATCATTCGTACGATGTCTAGTCTTATGCGTTGAGTAAATGTAAAGCATTTTAATATAATAATAGAAAACAGGATTTTGAAAATACTTTTATTTTCTTAAATGTTTTGTCAATTTCAAGGATATCAACGAGATTTCTTGAAGTAAATTTAATCAAGTTCCGAAATTCTTATGCTGATCAGAGCTTCCCAAAGTTTTCTATTCACAGAAAACATCTTTAGTTCTAAAATTTTTAAGGAACACTAGAGTTTGCTTTTTAATTATAATAAATATTAACGCAGATATGTTAGGTAAACCAAATTTTGTTCCAATTTTGTATATCATACATATAAAAAAACTTTTATAAGCTCCGAATTTTATAAAAAATGACACATAAAATTAATTAAATGAAACAAATAATATAGTAAAATGAAAACATTTTTAGTTTTCGATGAATTTGATGCTTATGAGTTGTCAATGTTTTTTTTGGTCGATGATTTCGTTTGTCAATGATTTTGTTGTCAATGATTTTGTTGTCAATGATTTGAGTTGTCAATGATTTGAGTTGTCAATTTGATGCTTGTTCGAAACTTAAATTCTTATGTCAGATGCAGCATCAAGTCGGTTTCTATATTGGGATTTCTTGGAACAAATGTGAAAAACCAGGCTCGCACAAATACATTGCCATAAAAGACATTAGAATATGAGCAGCTCGTTTTGATAAGTTCGGATATTTTTCTGGCAAATTTTATCTCAAATTGATTTAATGGCAGTTTTTAAAATTTTGTTTTATACCGGAATCAGTTGTCAGATGATTTAATTTTTCGATATCAGATGCACTGATAACTGTCGGCTTAGCTGTCGTCGTTCTGGCACTGCGGGAAATATTGTCTGAAAGTCATGCCACATGCTATAATATTTTATCGCCAACGTTATATTTTTAAACTTTCTTCATTTAAAAGATCATGTAAACTAGGAAAACAGTCAAGTTTATTCTCCTCTTGGGAAGGAATACAGATTTTTCTGCTACCCGTGTTGACAGGGAAAATATAACATTAAGTTTTAAAACAATATTTTTAACGATAAAAAAGTTACGTTTATTGCTTCATATTATTAAAATTTTTATATAATACTCACCAATTTAAAAAAGTAGGAGCCCGTCAAAGGTCGAGCGGTAAAATCGCTGAACACTGGTAGTTTCGACCTGCATTCGACTCCAGGCGAGCGGGCTGACAGCATGGGCGTTTTTGTGATTTTTTTTTCATGTGTAAAGTATATGCGAGCAGTTTAATTTAGTATATCCTGCGCAAAGATATCCATACCCCTATGCAGATAGCCCTAGCGCGCTTTGCCATAACCGACTAAAAACCAAAATTTAAAATAAAGATAAAAAGTCCAAACAAAACTAATACTTCAAAAATATTGAAGTGACACTGAAATACTCGTTTTCTTCCGAGTAAGAAATAGAAATACTAACAAAAATTCATTCTGCAATTATTTTGTTGGCAGTTTAAGCCATCTGGTGTTATGGTACATTACTAAATTTATTCCGAGCGTAATTTAAACCATTTTATTTAACATTTAAGATTAAATTTATTTTAAGAGTTGTGTTATATGCATAAAAGTGAACAATGTTTCATAATTTTTCACGGAACTCATAGTTTCTTATGTTTCTAGAACTTAATGCTGAACACAGTTGGGGAAACGCTGTATTACATAAATAAAACTTACTTAAGAATATTTATTTTACGTTTACTTAAGCTTGCTTAAGAAAACTTAAGAAAGCATATTTATTTTTAAGAAACCAAATACCATTCCATATGCGACAAATGTTTTCAGAATTCTATGAAGTTAAGTAATTTTTTTTTTATTTCATCAATTTTCATCTGTATTAACTATGCAGTTTCTCAACATAATCGCCATTTAATTGAATGCACTTTTCCCAACGGGAAACTAAATTTTTTAATCTCTTAAATCTTTAAAAAAAAAAAAAAAAAAAAAAAATCCCGTAAAGTTTTTCTTTCTTTTCTTTTTTTTTTTTTTTTTTTCAATGTGGGAATAGTTTACTTCTTGCAGACGTTAAAAATTTCTGAAGTTTCTTCACTCCTTTTTCCACAAAAAGAGACCAATTATTCTTCGCGTCTTCCATGGTTGCAAAAATAGTGCTACAAAAATCCGCTGTTTCCGTCAAACAACTGAAACGGATTAAACAATATTTCACGGGAAAGCTGCATAAACATGTCAAGACTTGTCTATGGCCGATAACATTGCCTATAGTCTAGGAATTCAATTAGAACTCACTTCCTAGAACTCTGGAAACACCTTACGTGTAATAATAACGTGTCACATCCAGAGTAAGTGAATCACACGACTGCAAAAATTTCATTGACATTTTTCGGGTTTGCTCAGGTTTGACAACTGAAAGATTTTTTTAAAATTTTACTTCTAGGAGAAAAATGTTCTGGTTTGGCCGCGTTAGTTTAAATTTGCTCACCAATGTACTACATGTACGAAAGGGTATTAGCTGAAATTTTTAAGGTTATCAGTGGTTCACTTGATTCATACGGTGAGCAGCCAATCCTTAGTGTTGACGAAGACCGATGAGCAAAATAGCATAAAAACATATTTAAGTAATTTAAACTTTATTAATTTATAATTTTTTAGTAAAATTATAGCAACATCAGAATTATTTTAACATGGTATTTGATATTTTATGCATGGAATTTCATTATGAATATTATTAAAATTATTTGTTGTGTTAATTTGCTTTCAAAATTTCCTTATAAATTTTATTTATAATTACGAAAATAACAATAAAACTTAATTAAATGTCATATTTTATCTTGAATTTAAAATTAATGCATCAATATCTGATTCAATTGAAGCGGTTGCAATGCTAAGGGAGTTTTCAAGATGTTCATCAGATAATCTGGTTCTAATTTTACTTTCAGTGTTCTTCTCTCTTGAAAACATTATTGGTAAATAAATGAAAATTAAGAGACACGTGATATTAGAAATAAAAATGTTTCGAGCATTTTAATTTGATATAAAAATACAAAATTTAAATGTGAATAATTCTCATTAAAACATTTATATATATCTTTCACAGATACTGTCTGCAAACTTAAATCATATAAAAATATCTTAACATTTATAGTCAACATTTAAATCTTGTATTTATCCATATAATGCGTATCATTGGCTTTCACTTTCTCTCTATATAAGTGTATAATTTTTTTCTTTCAGATGCCGGAAGAATGTCAGCCAAGCATGGGCGCTGTATGACGTTCAATCCCTTAAATACAAAACACTGCCTTCAATCTGCCTAAATCTACATATAAATATAAACTTATGGCGAGCGAAGGGAATTTAAAAAAGCACATCAGCATATTGCTGAGGTTGCTAGCTCGACTGAAAGACTACGGAAGAGATGCATTGCAGAAGACTTCCACTAAGAAACTGCAAAGAGCATTTATGTGCCTCTAATATAAACTACTGGCGTGTTGAGGCGAATGGACATGTTTTGCACAAATTATTATGTAATTATACTTGGCATCGGCACCATGATATCGCATCAGTGAGAAAAGATTCATTTTGCTCGTCTACAAGATATATTTCAATTCCGATTACGGTGTAAAAGATTAAAAGATACATTTCCTTCGAAATTTATTACATAAACTCAGTGCAACAAAATGGAAAACAATTTTGAGTGGATGTAAAGTATTGTTCTTTGTCATGAGTTTTTGTAATTGTTACTATGTGTTTCACATGAGAACAGCAAGTTCTTTTGTTTTGATTGTTTTTTCCGTGTTATATCAGCTTCCTTCCTTTGCTAATTTCCACTTTATTTATACCATCTAAACTACTTAAAATACGATCTCTAATTACGATATCGAAAGGCTATTTTAAGAATATCATTTACAATTTCAGTATTAAATATTATTTTAAAATATTTTTATTTATAACATTTTTTTTCAAATTTGAAAAGTCTAATAATTTATTGCAAGTTCTTTATATTTTACGGAATTACTAAAACTTCGCACTTTAAGAATTACCTTTCATTCAATTTAAAGATACCATTTTAGTAACGCTCAGTGCAAACACCATTTAAATGAAAATTTTTTGTCCAAATTTGTATGATTATCGAATATTTATTTTCGGATATTTTAAAAATATTTTACGCGTAGTACTTAGATTGGAAATTTTAAATACGGGTGTCAGAAAAAGAAAGAACAATATCAAAAGAATTTAAACTTATATAATTAAAAGAACCTTTATAACGAATTTGTTTTGATTAAAATTAAATTGTTTACTTGTAAATAGCACAAAATTATTTATATCTGTTCAGTAAGATGAAGTGTTAATAATACATGTTATAAATTTTACGCATAAATTTTACGTAAATATTGTAATTTCAATGTGTATGTTCCATGGAAACCATCTCATTTCTGTATTAAAAGAAATTAAACATTTGAAAAGATATGTACTATTTTATGCGTTACATTATGCACAAGACTTAGTCAATTTCATACTTTTATCATATGCAATGCATATTATAACTAATAATATTTTTCATCTGTAAAGAATGGTTTTCAAATGTTTGCATTTATGTGAGCAATTAATTTTCTCGATATCCATAGAATGATAAATTACCTTTGTGAAAATTTCTGTAAATAAGTAAATGATGTTTAAAGATTTTCACAAAAAATAATAAATAGTTATTTGACAAAAAATGTTTTTGAATTATTATCATTTTTGATACACATTTGTTATATGATTAACAGATTTTTTAATGGATTTTAAACATGATTTTTTGACAAGTTTCCCAAGCATGAGTTTATTTGCACTAGTGGCCGAAATTTTGGAAACCTTTTGCAAAACTTATTTTTGAGGTTTGATGGCCCATACCTCCAGTTTGTTTTGAAGTAATATCATTAACTTAATGCAACAGCGTGTGTTGATTTATTTGCATTCTGCCTAAAGTAGCATCCAAATAACCAGGAAGCAAGTAATATAAAAAAGTAATTTAAATTTAAATTTAATTAAAAAATAATTAGTTAATAGTTAATTCCTACTTAGTCAACAAAGAAGAATTTTATTTTAGATACTTTTTATTAGCATTATTAAAATTTTTTCGTTTCTAATTTATGAAGCTGATGGTGGTCTATAATTTCTCATTCTATCCATCTCTTGTAATGCTTCAATATTGCCAGGAACCTTTCCAGCGCGTTTCGAGCAGTCCAGTTCTTCAATTAATATTCCATCTAATGATTTCACAGGACTTAAGGTGACATATCCGACTCAAGGAATTAAAGTAAAAAAAAAATGTTAAATTGGGGAAAAAAGGCAAAAACATTAAAGGAAAAAAAAATGTGAAAAACCTGTATTAACATCAAGTGTCATTTAATACAAGCTCAAAAAAATACATTTGGACTTGAGTGAATGAATAGAAAAGTATTTTATTAATGACTGAAAATTTGAACAAGATATAGGGAGAGGGTAAGCTAATAGTAGGAATTTAAAAAGACACAGAATTTGCTTAGGTTCATTTAAAGTAACTTTGCTTTCTTTGAATACAGCTGGTCGGCATGGGCATTTAGAAAGTCCGTGATATATTATCTTGGTCCATCCATGGACCAACTAGGTCACAATAGGATTCAACTAATGATGTCATGCATTGGATCAGAAAGAAATATATTTGTCAGTGTATTATGATGTCAGTATGAACTTTTTTTTCAGGGAGATGTTTTTAAATTTTATTGAGATTGTAAAAAATTATAGAGATGGCTCAAATAGGCGACTGCACAGACATTTACTAGCCCAAATGGAATTAGTCTCGAAATGGGATTTTGTGTTGTCTCACTATATACTGTTTATCACTTTTCAAATTGTTGCCAGCAAATACTGTTGCCCATTATTACTTTAACGAAATTAAATAATGTATAATCTCCACGTATGTATGTATGTATGTATGTTTTTTGAATTGAGAAAGAATAATGGTATTTAGAACCATCCAATTTTGAATAACGTAGTCCACCACCCAAACATGTGCGCCTAAAAACCTGAACTTTGAATTTTGAATTTGTTTCATATTTTATGAATCTTTAATGAATTTTTAATTAATAAAGTTAACGATCTGAAAGCGAGCAGTGGCAACACTGTATGGAATAAAGCATTTTTGTTTCCAATTCGCGAGACCGTTGCCATTCAGGAAAACAAAGATATTTATCTCTCATTTTTAATTAACAAACTCGGCTCTATGAAAACAATCTGTTACCAAGCTCGGAAATATAATACTGTAGAATCAGTACTCTGTCTAGGATGTAAACTTACTTCTTGTGTGGCTGTCTAGGGGCTAATAAACTAGTCCAATTTACAAATAACTTGAATATTTAATGGAAACATGAATAGTTGCTGCAAACTACAAAATGATTACATGTGTAGAAGGATGAATTTACATAGATGATATTTACAGATGGAGAGAGTCGACCGTCTTTTACATGTAAACATCGTTCAGTCGCATCATCGTCTTAATGGCGGAATCGTCTGACTTCTGTCATTGGAAACGTAAAAGATTTATTCTCACAGCTTGTCGCGTCATCCGATTATAATGAATGATGCCATTTCACAATACTTTTAGCTTCCACGCGCCAGCATATTGCGACTTAGTAAAGCCTAACATACTTTCAAACTTAATCTGAGAAATACCTTATAAACTTAATTAAAGGTAACTTCTAAAAGAAGCGATAATTAACGATAACTTCTAAAGGAAATTAACGATTAGTTAACGATAATTTCTAAAAGAAAAGAGCATTTAGAAACCTTCTATAAGCTTCATAGGAAAGAAATAAGTAAAATGCATCTCGTATCTCATAGGAACGAAATAAGTAAAATATATCTCGTATGCATCTTCTTAGGGAAGAACTAAGGAAACTACCTCACGTGTATGGCCAGGAACCTCGTGTGCACAATGCACAAAAGATGTCTGTTGCTTGGCATTGTCCAAGGCATACTACTCTCCCATGGAAAGTACTGAAAAACGGAGCAGGAGATCAACTCAAGCTATCTTTATATAAAAAAAAAAAAAAAAAAAAAAAAATTAAACAATGAGCTCTAAACTATTGAAACACATAAGAATGAATTTTCTCGTAAGAAGATAAAACTGAATGAAGAAATATTACAAAAAGAGGCTAAAGAACAACAAAAGAGAGGATTTCTTATTTCATTTAGTCTGATTTAAACAAAACATTTTATATTTTTCTTTATTTTAATCTGTTTCTGCTTTTGAATAATTAAATATATAATATAAACTACAATACCAAAGACATACGTTCTGAGGAAAATACCTGACATATCACTGCAAAGACGTTTTATTAAATTTGTCAAGATTTCAGTGTTGAAAGAATTTAAAGACTTGGGAGAAATTCCATACCATAACTTAAAAAAGCTAGAATTTAATTTAAAATTTATTTGTTGGAAACTCTATTTTGGAACTGCTAAACAGATTAAAACATAATAAGAAAAGCGCATTTTTTGCCTCTGCTTCAACAGTCTCTTGATATTGCACGTAATTACATCATCAAAAATTATTCAAAGTAAAATGAAATATTACTTCATGCAGAGACTGCTAATTTAAAAGAAGCGATACTTCTTGTTTTGGTAGTGTTCGATATTTTTTGGATAAATTAACAGAACGATTATAATCATGGAATGATTTGCTAAAACAATAAATAAAAGTCCAGGGAGAGGAATTCGTTACTTCCTGTAGATGCAGGTGTTGTTGTGTCATAGGAAAGATGTGTACAGTAAATGGAATTTCTGAATGTGACAGGATCAATAAAAAGCAATATTAAGAATCCATTAAAATAATATGTAATGTGAGCAGAAATTTAACATTGTCAAAAAAAAAAAAAAAAAAAAAAAAAAAAAAAAAAAAAACTCAAACCCGCTCATTTGTGACTTAAAGAATGTTTGATTATTAAATATAAACCGGATAATAAGTGTTATGAAGCTCAGTTTTTTTATTCGATTTTAACAAAAGCAACATCAGCTGTTATAATTGCTAAAATAAATGCTATTTTTCATTTTCTTTAATATGATTTCTTTTTCTTATTCTGCTTTAGTTATACTTTAATCTTTTGTAAATTTCATGGTTCGTGTTCTGATCTTTTCCCAGGAATCTTCCGATATTTAATATCCCAAAATTGGTGGGTACGCAAAGTACAGGAACATGTAAAGTGGCGCCTAGTTTTTAAACGTAGGTTAATATTACGTAAAAGGAACGCAGAAATTTAAGCGAAAGTACATAGAACGCAATGGAACTAGCAATATAAGCAAAATACTTAGCCTTACATATGATAATTCCTTGCGATAGAAATGTATTAAATTCTCTAAATTCTCAAGATTTTATACTGCAAAACTTATGATTGAACTTGATTGAGTGCATGATGTTTAATGTGGCTGCCTAACGATTCTCTGAGAGTTCTATGAACATTCTTTCTGATCTACATATTTACTTCTGAAATTCTGACTGAATGTCTAAATCAGAGGTTCTTATCCAAAAACGAATTTCTTAGTTTCAAAGAATGATGTCAGTCTTTTATTTAAATGATATACATTTAGTTTTAGTTAATATAAAATACTATTTTCGTTCAAGTTTTGGTGGGTATCAATTTTTTCTACAGTTTTGTTTGTTAAATTTATAAAACGTAAATATGTAACGTTAATACATGTATCTCGCATAAATCAAAAACCTATTAGCCGTAGAACGTTGAAATTGAATCCATTTTACAATCCGTTCTGAAGAAAAGAATCCTTATTCTGTCATTACAAAAAATTTTCACACAAAACTTGGTTCAGATGAATTCGAGAGCAGTTAAAATGGATATTTTCGGTCAAATTTAGTACCCGAATTTTTTAGCGATTACAATACTTTGTTTAGGTCATACGAGAAAGTAAAAAGTATGATACAATGATTAATTAAAAATAGATTATTTTAAAAATTTGGAGATGAAATTATGTACTTAAAAACCCCTTCTTTTAGGAAAATGTTTACGAATATTTAATGAAGAATTATGCTTTATCTTTGATAATAATTAAATATAAAATTTTTAAATGGAAAAAGGCATTTATAAAAAGAAAATTTCAAAATTTTTCATTACTATTATTTAATGAAAGCTGTAACTTGTCAAGAGTAAGTAGCAGTTTCTTTTAGAATGTTAGGTACTGCGATAATAAAGTAAAAAAAGAAGATGACACATAACATTCGTTAATAGTGCAATTAAGAACAGAAGGAAACTAAGCTCATATGAATAGTGAGATTAATGAGACAAGTAGCACTTAGACTGCAGTGAGACAATCTGTCACTTTTACGGCAAATGATCCTGATAATGCTGTCAGGAAAATTAAGGGTATTAAGGAATAGTTTGAAATACTGATATTTTTCGTATATGAAAGGAGAAGAGCAGAATAAAATATGTTTGTTTGCAAATGTTCCCAAAAATATTCTTCGAAAGGACTTCGTAATAATAAATGCTTTCTGTTTTAACTTAATGAACTACCTGAAAGGTATGAAGTTTTTATTATATTCTGACTACATATTAAAATTATTTGAAACCTATCATTCATAGCTAAAGAAATTTAAAAATATACAAAATTTACGATTCACATTCACACCATATAAATAGTTACTAATTATACAATTAAAATTAGATATTGTGCTTTGCTCTTATTA